TTTGTTTCCTTCCCCCCCCCCCCCCCAACCAAACCAATTATTTCCGTTTTGGATTCTTGCAACTCTTTCTTCATCACAATTTTCCAATATGCAGTAGTCATTACGATCTTCAGCTGCTTGTATTTTTAGCCAAGAATGTCATATTTTCAAATGAATTTATCCTTTAATTGTTCATATTATGTTTTGCTAGCATTACTTATCAAAAAAAAAATATATATATATATATTATGTTTTGCTAAATATTCTAGATATTGATGCAAAATTTTGCGTTTCTCCACTGTTTGAATGGTTAGTTTTATTTGATTTTTAATATGTTTTGTTTTTAAGTATTTTTTATTTATTACCGGATTTGTCCAAACTCGAATGAAGTTATTTTGTCATTTTAAAAGATCTCTTCCAATAGAATAAGAATTTTGTATTGTTTTCATGTAATTAAGAAATTCAATTTTATTGGCTACTTTATTGCCATTTATTGTCTTGCTAGAGAGAGAGTATTTCTTCGTGTGACTCTGGTCATGCCCCTTCCTGGTGCAAAATGGGTGCCTAGTTAATATTGTAATTAGCGTAATATGTTATCATTTGTATTCAAATAATCATCTCAATTTGCAAGTTGAAAGTGTAAACTTGCTATAAAATAAAAATTTAAGACACCCAACTCAAGATGCATGTTAGTTGTAAATAAGGGTTAGCCTACATAGGTATATGAACATACAGAATGTGGGCAGGGTTTGTTTTGTATTGTCTCTCAATTTCTATATGTTCTTACATTGACATGTTATAATGGTATGCTGCCATGGGAGAAATCTGTTGTGCTAAGACTATATATGAGGCTTACCAAATTTGTCAAATATTTGGCACTGTCTTCTAATATTATAAGAAAATGAGATAACGTAATAAAGGCCGCAGAGTAATTGAATAAGGAAGGCTCACATGGCATTCTATTTTTACAGGATCAAATTTGCCAAATGGGACAGTATCATTATCTAAAAGCAAGTTTGATGACAAAATAGAGGAATCCTCCGCTAAAATGTACTTTCATTACTACGGACAACTTCTGCACCAGCAAAATATGATGCAAGATTACGTGAGGACAGGTTAATCTCTGAGTTGTAATGTGTATCTCCCTTTCAATTTTCTCTTTCATTCTTATTTTGAGTTATTCTGTCACTTCCCAGTTTTAAAGGCTTGTGGGCCCTTTTTATGCAGCTAGAACATGTATTTCAAGAGTTTTTCTGGTGCTCTTATAGTTGCAGTGGAACCATAACTGTCTCTGTCAATAATTGACATGATAGATGTTCATTTTCCAGGAAGTTATTATGCTGCAGTCATGGAGAACCGTGTGGACTTTGTTGGCCGTGTAGTTGTTGATGTTGGTGCTGGTAGTGGCATTTTGTCATTATTCGCTGCTCAGGTTCTTCAGTAAACGCTTTTTTATACATTTTGCATCGAGTAAGTTGATCGTAATAAAACTCCTCACATGACTCTTGCTGGTTAATTTACTCCTCTCTCTCTCTCAAATAGGCTGGTGCAAGACATGTTTATGCTGTGGAAGCTTCCGAAGTGGCAGAATATGCTCGTAAGCTTATAGCTGGTAATCCGTCGCTTGGCCAAAGGATCACGGCAAGTGTTAAGCCGTTCATTTTATCTCTTTGCAAGAGTAGTCGTTTTACTCTTTACTGATTTTCTACCCAGCATCACCACTTGTGTTTATTACGTAGGTAATTAAGGGTAAGATTGAAGAGGTTGAATTACCTGAGAAAGCAGATATTTTGATCTCTGAGCCAATGGGTATGCTTAGTTCTCTTGCTTGCTTCTGTCATCTAGTGAATGGTAATATCTAGGATAATGTTGGACTCATAATTAGCTAAATAACTATAAAGCCAACATGCACAGGCAGCTACGTGCATATTGTGTGCATGCTCAAGCAATCCATATTCCTTTTACCAAATTCTGAATTCTTTATTCTGATGAAATATAAACATTTCCTTTGAGTATCTACGTATGTAAATTCCCCAAAAAAAAAAAAAAAAAGTAAAATAAACTTCTAAGTTGATGGCTGATTTACGAGAACTTGGAGAAGAATAAAAAATGTAGGCTGCATACTCATAGACATAGAAAGGCTGATTCATGCAGTGTTCAAATCTTCATTTTTGATTAGTTGTAGACTGAAATGTAATTTAAGGTATCCTATTAATGGCAGACTTTACCTCCTACAGGAACTTTACTAGTGAATGAGAGAATGTTGGAGTCCTACATAATTGCAAGAGATCGATTTCTTGTTCCAAATGGAAAAATGTTTCCAACTATAGGAAGGTGAATGTTGCCTATTTTTCTGTAGTTGAGGGGATACCGTTGTCCATTGCACTTCCATTCTCATTTTATTACGACTAATCTCTCTGCATAAGTGCCATGTTTATTTGAAGAGAGGAAACTGTTTTCTGAGTTTAAAATATTCAATAAATTAAAAGTTAAAACCAGTTCATTTATTTACTCCGTGTAATTTTACCTCATTTTCTTTATATGTTCTTGTCTTTGCAGTATGTACATATCTTTTCTGGAAGCTACTTATTTTCTCGTGTGTATTTTTGTTCCTATCATACGGCAATGCTTCACCTTGTTTTTGAGATATTATGAAATATGTTTCATGCCTGTCCTGCTCTCAGCTGATCTATTTGGATTTTCAAGACGAGTCATTTGTTTATTGAATTATTACATGTTCTTTTTTGTTAGATTAATGGACTTTTTGTATGTTCTGAAGTTCATCCCATCTCTAATTTCTTAAGCTTTTCAGATGTGGTCGACAAATCATGCTTCTATATATGATATTTATAATGAAAGTGTGGACTTTGACAAAGCAAGGTCTCTCAACTTTATAAAATATTAGTTCCTCATCCAACGAAAGATTTTTTTACACAATAATTTAGTTCATAAAATGCATGATAAACAAAGATCGTATGCTTTAATTTCCATTCCCAGGGAGGAATAGATGAAAAGAAAACGTGTTTACTATTAGGAGAAACAATTAATATAGGTTGGAATTTTGGTTCTATACATTTGTTTAACCTAAAATTGTGAAACTGTAGTATTTTGTTTTATGATACCTATTAATATATGTTAAAATACTCATTCTAATTATTATCACTTTACCAAGATTTTCCTCAAATTGATATTAATTGTTGGCTATTAGAATTATTAACTTTGGCATGTTGAGATGAGTGGGGGGGTCCCGAAAGATTTTATTGAATATTGGAGAATTTTAATGCATTGAATATTAATTATTAGGATCCTATTGTCCAATAATAAGAGGAAAAGCTTGAACTAGCCAGTAAAGAATTGGATGGTTGTGGATTTTTATGTCTGCTATTTTATATTGGAATATCCAAATTGTTACGCCTTTCGTGTGGTCGGAACTTTCCCGACAAGGAATTTCGCTTTTGTGTACAGTCTTTGTGGTTGTCGAGCACAAGGCATGGCCCTTTCTCGGGGCTCTTACATGAGTGGTGGTTTTATACATTGTAATTTGTTCTTTTACTGTGCTTGATATTTGTACTTGCTTGCTCTTGTAGAATACATATGGCGCCATTTAGCGATGAGTATTTGTACATGGAAATTGCAAATAAAGTAAGAATCAATTTTTGATTCTGTTTACAAGCACTTTCCTTTTTGATTATTTTTTTTGGGAAGATTGAAGAGGGAATGGTCGTCGTACCTGGATGTCATATTATATTTCTCGATTGACAAGGGGATAATTTTTGGTAATTTTCTATGTACAGACAAGTTCAGATTATCATGAGAGCATGTCATTTTGTTCACTGATTTTTCCCTTCAAATTGCCTTTTCCTGTTGAGACGGTTCTAATTTCTAAAATTTGTTACTTCCATGCAGGCTTTGTTTTGGCAGCAACAAAATTATTATGGTGTTAATATGACTCCTTTGCAAAGTACTGCATTTCAAGGATACTTTTCACAGGTCTATCTTGTCTACATCTCAAGTATATTTTTAACTTTTAGCATTGCAATTAGTTTCTTCTGCGTGCTTATTGCTTCGTTTGCCTACAATTACTTTTGGTCACTATATAGCTACATAAATTGGTTTCAAAGACATTGCTTCTATATCTGTCTTATATTGTGTGGTAGAATCAAACCTGCATTAAATACTAATTCTTTCCCTGCATTTACTGTTTTCTTTAAAATATTATTTCCTTTTGACGTCAAGAGTTTGTTCTACAGATATCCCCTTTTGCATAACTGGTTCTGATTGGAGATGTAGTTACTAGGCGTTGCCTTTTTAATAGGATACCAGTTGAGCAGCTATGTATTAGTAATCGATAGGCTGATTTGTGTAATGTAATTCTCAAGTTATATTCAATAGATCATCATAGCTAACTGTTTTTGTATTGATAAAATGAACAGAAATTAAATGACAATTCCAAGCATTCGAGAGGCTTAGATCTCTCCCCCTAACTCAACAACTAATCCCTCCATGCTCCTCGTCGAACCCTCTCTTAATGCATTTATAGGCATTCTATTATATCTTTATTACCCTTTTACCCTTTCTCTAACTAAATGAATCATTCTAGAATATTTGATGACATGGCTGCAATATGATTGGATATCTATCAGCGTTGCCTTTCAGTTCTAAAATGTCTGTCAACTAGTCTGGTCACCAATGGTGAAACCATAAAAAAGGAGATGCAGAAGGTGTTTGCATGGATTGTATATTGAATATATCAATGGATGTCATCTGTAGCAAATTCTTCCAATATTGAAATTTTCTAATGCCCATCTTTCAGAAAGATTGGATTTGGTATCCTCATTTAATATTTTGAGAACTTTGTAAAATCTATTTTGATATGAGAACTGAAGTCTGGAAGTTCCAATCATTTTACAAAGAATTGGTGAATGCATACTTTCCATGTTAAACACGTGTTTTTTGGAAAAATATTGAACATTATACCATTTTTCTTAAGGCTACATTTGGCAGATATGGCTCATAAATATGATGGCTGAAATAGGATATAGATTGACAAGGATATGATCAAATATTCATCTTAACCATACAGGCCAGGATCATTGCTAGCAATATATCTATTTTTAAATATTAACTGTAAGAATTATAGCCATGCGTTCTCTGAAAATATTGTTACACTGAAGGGAATGTTTCTTGTATCATCATTTAGTGTCATGAATTTGATTTAGATTTGGCACTTGAACTAGAACTTGAAATATATCTCAGTAAGTACTTGTATTTGTATCACCACGCCACTGTTTATCAAACTTGATACTATTGTACACCGCCTCTCACGATCAACTTCGCCTTCTTTGCACCTTGCAGCCAGTAGTGGATGCCTTTGATCCTAGACTATTGGTGGCTCCTGCAATCTCACATGTGATAGACTTCACTTCTACAAAGGTTAATGTTTACTTCAGTTATATATCTGGTTCTTATTCATTCAACTTGAAAGTCTACAGCAAGATTTTCACATTCTTCTAAACTGCATTCTAATCGTACATTAACTCTTGAGTACAGTTGGAGAAATGTCAGACACCATCGTTAGATTCTCTCATCTTTCTTGTGGAGTTTTAAGGAAAGGCCTCTTCAAAACCTATAATTTGTGCAACAAATTTAAGTAACCATGTACTCAGATACAGCTACAAAAACCTATAAAGAAATTCCCTCAAATTTGAAATTCCAAAACATGGTCTTGGAAATTTGATAGAGTCTGCTTTCAAAGGAGACCAGCTTATCAGATCCAGAACCCTCCCTGGCAGTAAGAATCTTAAAGTTGAGTCATTCCTCATCCCTATTCCTAGTAGTGCCTCTGGTCAGGCATTACCTTCCCCTTGAGTTGAGAACAAACTAAAAGCAACTCCTTTGCTGATCTCCTGTTCTGTTCTTAACTAAAAGCCATTCTCGCTTCCACATAAATTGTGTGAGAGTATCTTGTAAGCTATTCTAGCTTCCTCATAAATTTTGAACTATATTACTCATGAGAATATTTTATTTCTTTCAAATTGTCAGTATTTGTTGTGGATTGAATGACACATAAGGCTACAGTTTCAAAGATCACTGAGTTTTATTCAAAGGTTTCTTTCGGATCATTATCTATAATTTATGTGGAAACTTCCCTCCATTTCCTTGGGGAAGAGGAAAAAAAAAATATTGGAAGCACCCAACGAGTCATATGCTGGTATTTTTAGTGGCTCCATTTTTCCGGAAGTCTGAACTTGAGATAGAGACTAGCGCAGTTGAAAGACTGAGTCTCGTGGGAATTGGTTCATTTAAGTTTCCCAAGTATGCTTATGCTGGTAGAGTGGCTCCTAGTATTTGAGACTTTTGGAATCTTGTGGTTGGAAGCAAATACAATAATTGGGGGGTGCATGTTTGTCAATAGTGTATGGGGGAATGCGAGCCAGAGTGTATAGGCATTTGGAAACTCGAGTGCTTAACTTCTCTTCTAATTCCATTTCTGGAAATTTTATGGGAGTTTAATCTGCAATTTTGTATGAAATTAACATCCTTAAAATTTTCATTTCGTTGGAAAATGGTACATTCAATAAAGCAATTACAGTTGATTTTTTACCATTTTGTCTTCTATATTGTGTCACTTGCATGTGTAATCCACTGCAGTAAGCTTCTCAACCTGTTAAGACTAACGTAATTTATTATATATTCATCAATTCTTCCTTTTATCAGGAAGAAGAATTGTATGAAATTGACATCCCATTGAAATTTGTATCTTCAGTGGGCACTAGAGTCCATGGGTTGGCTTGCTGGTTTGACGTGTTGTTCAATGGGAGGTAATTGTTTGATGCTGTATGTGTTTAAACATCTTCCTGTTTTCCCTCCATGAAATTGCATGATTACCACTTGCCTTAATTATGTCAAATACCTTCATCCAATAGCACTGTGCAAAGGTGGCTTACCACTGCTCCTGGTGCACCTACAACACACTGGTACCAGCTGCGTTGTGTTCTCGCCCAACCAATTTATGTGATGCCTGGACAAGAGATAGTTGGTCGACTCCATATGGTTTCGCATAAAGCTCAGAGTTACACCCTTCACCTCACGTTGTCAGGTCGGTTCTTTATTGTTCTTGAGCTATTGACACAACAAATCCTGGTTTTTTTTTCTTTTAGTTCCTTTCCTGTTGCTTCCTTGCTTGGTGTCCTTTCTTAGCCAACTAGTCATTTATCTGAATAGCTAAAATGTGGGGCCCCGGTGCTGAGCTAGGAGGAATACTTCAGACGTCATCCGGAAAACTTGATCTCAAAGAGCCCTATTATCGGATCTCTCAACCACAGGCCTATCCTTCGACACAAGATCAACAACCAAATCATCTATTACTAACACAGGTATTAATCGTGTGGACTTTTTACTTCTGAATAAATGTTGGATACCAACGCGTTCAATAAAGTTTGCCTCTATACCTCCTGCCAAAACACGACTTCAATGCTATTTCTTAGTATTTTGAACTTGACTGGTATAACAGTTGATGATAATCTCTAATGGTGAATATGCAACAATCATTTTCAGTAACCATTTCTACCCTTGTGCAGAATGCACGTTTGGTNAGTTGATGATAATCTCTAATGGTGAATATGCAACAATCATTTTCAGTAACCATTTCTACCCTTGTGCAGAATGCACGTTTGGTAAGGAGGCACTGTATAGTAGTAAGAAAGAAGAAGGGAGTTAGAATCCTGTTTGATGTATCATTTCATTCCTGTCTAATACTGCGTAACAAACACACACTGAATGTTTAGGTTGAAAACTAATTGAAATTGTGTACTGCTCCTATTGTCATCTCAATCTCTCTCTGATAAATATCAAGGCGGATTTTCACTTTATTCTTCGAAAACATTTTTAGACTTGATTGTCGTTATAGCTCCATTCTTAGCTCTTTCTTTTTTTGAGTATATGGCCCCCAATTAAAATAGATTGTAGTCTGATGCGTGAAATGCATTCTGCAGTCCACAAACATCACTCGTAGCTAATCAATGCTATCTAGTATTGTGCAATCTGACTAACCAAACAAGTCATCAGTGTTTTCAGAAATTGTAGTTATGGATATGCTTAAGCCTACGCACCGCTCTTGGTGTCGGGCCTATAGGCAGATTGTGTTTCAATATTAGTCCAACTCTCAATGTGTATCTTTACAATTTATGAGGTTTTCAACATCATTTGCTGTTATTCTTTTTACTTGAGGTTCAACTACAAATCCACACAATTATATTGCACATTACAGGATATGCAATTACAACCTCAAGACGAAGAGGGGTCGGATTTGATGCCACAAGCACTACTGCAGGACTCCGGTGCTGAGCTACACTCGTTCTGATGAATGATTCTCTTACGCACACATATTTGCAAATTTATTATAATCCACTGCTTAGGTACTCGGTGTAATCAAATGCTTAGGTTTTTACCCTTCTATTTTTTGTGTTGTAAATCAGATTTTTTTTTTTTTTTAGGCAGTTTATTGTGTTCGGAGTGCAAAACTATCTGTGATGATGAATAATGATCTGAATCCAAATCAAATTTGAGCATCTTTGTTTAACAAATACTTCCCAGCTGACAATGTTTCACTGTAACTTGTTTGGGTTTCATTATAAGTTGCTGAAATTATGATGTGATAGAAATGTGTAGTGAATAAGTGACTAATAGTTGTGGATTTTACGAGATGTGCTAGAAATTAACGTTTTGAAGTAAAAGAAAGAAACAGATTGTGGCTGTGCTTATGTTCAACTTCAACATGGTGTCTGGACTGCTTGCCCTAACAGAGATCTATCCACCTAGATGCTTGTTCGGCCCGGCCCGAAAATTCAACTTCGAATCGTGACCAATAGAAAACTGAGATTATACAGGTTGCATCCCCAGACGAGATTCCCTCTCCATCTCGTTACTGAAAGAAATTGAGCTCTGATCCTTACCAATAGGATGGTCATTTTCCCTCAAATGCACCTCCAAGCTAGCTCCATAGGCTGCATCACCTCGAGATTGAACGGAACCATAGATGGGGATGGCTAGTAAGGAGTGATATGCCTGGGTTCGGAGAAGTGCAATACGATAAGTATTGTTTTAGATGGCGTACAAGTGTCATTAGTTGATTAAACATCTTAAAAGAGGAAAATGAGTCACATTTAGCCTCTGTTCGGGCTCCATTAAAAATGAAATTTGAGAAAAAAAATTTATTTTCAAATATTATTTTTTGGAGAATAAATGGTTAAAAAATAATGAAAAGTTTTGGATTTATGTGTAATATTGTTTTGTTGGAGAATGTGTACTTAAAAAAAGAAAGAGATAAATGTAATTTGACAAAAATAGAGCCCAAACAAGGACTTAATGTGACTTGTCATTGTGACCATCTAAAGTGGTGGGGATTTCGTTATTTTTTCTTTTCATAGATATTTAAAAGTACATTTGCATCGTAACCATAGAATGACTTTTAAATGGGACACGCTAGCTAAAAACTACGTCATGAAGATAGTTTGTATGGTTAAATGACTCTAGTTTGTATTATCGAATACGACTTTTTCAACAAAAAATGATAATATTCAATATGTTGAATATTGGGCATTGCAACAACCATCTCGTTGAACTATCATACTTCTTTCATTAGCAATTTTTAACCTTGTTGAGAGTCTAAGTCCCTGTTTGGCCCTATTAAATTAAAATTTATTTTTTCTCTTTTTATCAATCACACATTCTCAAATAAAATAATAAATCTAAAAAATTTTCCTTCCTTTTTAATCATACATTTTTTTAAAAATTATTATTCCTTTCATTATAATTTAAAATAATGGAGCCCAAACAAAAGCTAATATTCAGCTCCAGCATGCAAGGCAGCAAAGATGAACCAACTTGGGGGAGTTAGTCAACGACTTTCTCAAAATTTTTAAAATTCTACTACCTTAATTCATTTGCAAAATCAAATAATTGTCGCATTATTTCACTTTTTAATATAAAGTAAATTCGAATTCATGTTCATATTTAAAATTTCAAAAATACACATGTACGTTAGGATGTTGATTAATTCCATTTGTCTATTAGAGTTTTACAAAGCCCCCTCACATGAGGGCCCACAAATTTATTTTGAGTTAAGCATCAGTCATTTCAAAATTAAGAACAATGTTTCAAATTTCAAAAATTAGATTTTTATTAAAATTTAGTTATAATTTAATTATATATATATATATTATTTTAATATATTAACATCATAAATCTATACAATTTGATCACAAATTAATGATTTAGTAAATCATATATTATATTTCAGTTGTAAATCAAAAAATTTTATAGGTTACAAATTATTTAAAGGTCATAGATCAAAAATTTAACAGGTTACAATTTGTTCATCGATTACAAATAAAAAAAAAGTCACAATTTATTTATCAGTCACAAATCACAAATTTTATATGTCATAATTTATTGTACAGTAAAAAAAAATGAAATTATTGGTCACAAACTAATAAAATTTAGATCACATTTTATCTTTTTTATTGGTCACTTATTGTTTATTTGTCACGGATTAACCAATTTAATGGTTACAGTCAACCAAATCATTTGTTACCACCACCTCATCATCATCATTAACCGCAATGCCACCAAAATTGCTTCGCGCCAGAACAACCATTGCCACACCTACAGTATCACAAAACTCATCGCACCACCGCCATAACCACATCATCACAAAACCACCACCACCACACCCACAACATTACAATAGCATGCCACTGCCATTGCCACCCCCATCTTACTATTTGATTGCCACCAGATTTGACAAAACCCCATCATTCATGGCCTGCAAGACCACCGCACCCACGACGACTTCGACAATTCCAATAGTGCAAATCCGCCACCATTATGCAACCACCACATCCACTAAAAGATCCCCAAACCATCATTGCCACAACGACCACCACCTGTCAACACCATCGACAAAAAAACCATCCCAAATAACTACACAACCACCACATCAACGACGACTTCAATGATTCCAACAGTGCTGTTGTTGTGTGTTGTGCTTGAGGCATCGCGCTACAAGCACAGCGCCACGCTCAATTGCTATAGCAACGCCGCAAACGATGGTGCTGTCATCGCTCGATGAGAGGCATAACTGCTATGGCTTCCGAAGACGCTGCTGTAGTATGTCATCGCCTGTTATGCATCAACGGTGGTAGAAGAGATATGACAAAGAAGATAGAGAGAGTGAATAGAAATGAAAAATGATTTTAAGGTTAAGGTTTGGGATTGGGTTGGAATGGTAATATAGATTAAATTATTTTTGATTTTTGAATAAACAAACTTTACATCTCATTTTTTAAGTTGGACCTTAAAACATAAGGATGGGTGTAATTTCCACTAGTGGAATTCTAGGATGTATTGGAAAATTAAGTCAAATTGAGATCGAGATTCTCTTGATGGATCATTTTGACTCATTAAAATTATAATTTATTTTTCTTTCTTTTATTATCAACCACACATTCTCTAATAAAATAATATTACACATAATTTCAAAATTGTTTATTCTTTTCTAATCACATTCTTAAAAAAAAAAAAAAAATTATTCCAAGTATTAAAATTTCAAATAATGGGGGCCAAATGGAAATAGAAGTCTTGAGTGCTAAAGCTTGCAAAGGAGGATTTCGTTAAAGAAGTCATATTCAAAGCTTGTTTAGTAAATACTTTTTCAAGTGAAAAATAATCTTTAAAGAATGTGTGGTTGAAAAGCGAAAAAAAAATTGTGGATCCCGTAAAATGTATTGTTTAAAATAATATTGGAGAAAAATGATTTTAGGAAAATTGTGCCAAACAAGCCATGCCTATGAAATAAAAAAATAATAATAATAATAATAAATGAGACATAATATCATACTTGAACATTGTTGACCCTTTGTCTACTTCGAGCTAATCCAGCACCAATGCATCATGCTCGATAGCTGTAGTTCGTGAATTCTCCCAGATGCAACAGACGTTTGGGGTAGAAGTGACACTTTATAGTCGAAATTTATAGTACTCCTTCGGTCCCATTATATAACTTACTTTCCTTATTTTTTTGTCCAAAATATATAGTCATATTTCTTCATTGAACTTGTTTTGTTTAGTGTGTTTGCTAATATATCCATATTTAATTTGTTTACTTAACTAATTTTTTCACTTAATCTTGAAATTGTACAAATATGAATAAGGATAAACAAGGAAAGTTATTGACAAAAATTATTTTTTCAATAATATTTATTAATTCTTGTGAAAAATAAAACAAGCCTATATAAATGGAATGTATGGAGTATAATTTCACTAGGGTTGCAATTTCGATCTAGATAGCACAAGATGATGTGCTAAATGAAAGTAATCATTTAATTTCACTTATAATTTAATGCTAAATTAACTCCATTTCAGTGGGGTTAAATAGTATTACTTTAAAGTCTATGTATTTGGACGAGATAAATATTTATTTATTCGTTATTAATAAAACGTCATTTATTCAAAAAAAAAAAGAAAAGAAAAGAAAAAAGAAAAAAAGAGAGAGAGTGGTGGAATATCTCAAAAACCATAATTCAAGGGGCATCATCGCAATTTCCGATGCCTGCATCCTCATTTCCAGAATCTCCAACTATCCTTCAAAGTTCCTTATAATCACTTCATCTGTACACACACATTCACACTGTATGTATATACGATGGAAGCCCTACCTACGCCAGTGGCGCAACCGCAACAGTACAGAATCAGTCAACATCATAACCCCCGCCCGTACATCGGAGGGGAGGGCAGCGGTCCGGTTGAATTGATTAAAGAACCGACGCATTCTGATAACAATACCAGCAACGAAGACAGGCGCGGGTCGGAGCTGAGGGCGCAACTGGATTGTAACCTAACTTCACTGTGTGACCATATCCAATTGGAGGGATTCAATAATGGCGCGTTCTCCGATGTCATCGTACACGCTATGGATTCAGTCTACCACCTCCATCGCCT